TGCATTGAAACTCTGCCCCACCCTCAAATCTTTACTGCATCGCAATACCGGGTGAGGTTTTATCAATGTTCATGAACATCTTCTCTGAGCATTGGTAAAAACACCATATTGCACTCTTGCTACCGTCATGATTATCTCATGATTGACTTCTTTTTGAGGTGTTTGTTAACACATGAACATACAAAAGTAATGCATGGGAGAACAGTGGACAGATAAAAGACTGAAAATTGTGATAAGAATGTCAAGAACCTTAGAAGTGCAAACATGGACATATCTACATACCCAATTTTATTTCCATGTGGAAATAAAACCAGGTAATTCAGAATGCCAGAGTAGGTGGAAAAATCCAGCCAAGGGCAATTGGTAGGCAACCTTTCTGAAAACTTGGTAACAACAGCATGGAGCATGTGTGCTGACTCAAGAAATCTTATGTTACTCAAGGAAAGGAGCATTTGATCAATGGGATTGACCCTGGCTCCTTTTCCAGTGTGTCATAATTACTGGCTCTATTCACATAACACACCTAAGTTAGTTTATTCTTGTGAATGTAGTGGGAATGAGAGAGAGAGATGTGAATGTGGAATGTCCATGCAGTATTTGTTTCAGTACCTGTAAGAAGGTAATACTCAAGTAGGACCTTGTAGGTGTGGGACCACAGTATGTAATTTTGGAAAGAATTCAAAGTTCAAGAGCTTCCAGGAGAGAGATGAAGGCAGAACATTAAAGAGAGGAGATATTTGGGGGGGGGGGGAGAGTATGAGGTCCAAAGAAACAATGTTCTGTAAGAAGGCAGTTGTTTAGGCAGGGGTCTCCAACGTTGGCAACTAGACTTGTGGACTTCAACTCTCAGAATTCTGGGAGTTGAAGTCCACAAGTCTTAAAGTTGCCAAGGTTGGAGACCCCTGGTTTATGGAGTTGCTGAGGATGGCCCAGCTTTTGGAAGGGTTAACCAATCATCATGACTGCCCTCGATCTCCTAATTGATGTCACATCTATAGAGGGCTGCCCTTCTGAAAGCTGCATCAGTTCTAACAGCTTGGTCAGTTCTGTCCATATGTTTCTATGGCCCTACAGATCTATGGATTGATTTGATCACCCAGCCCATCAATTGGTGTCACTTGCCAGTTCCTTGCTTAACTTCCCCCCCCCCCCCCCCCCTCCAGTTTGCTCCTCTGCCACTGAAATGAAGCTCATTGTTCTCCTTCCTTGTTTGCTACTGAATATGGGATCAACTCTTACCGGTTGGGCAGCTCTAAACCAGTTAGAATAAGATCAACCTGATAACTATCTTGGCTTCCTAGAAAGGTGCCTTACATGAGGCAGATTCTTTTTTTCATTCTGCCCTTACTTATTTGCACCTGATTGGCAGCTCATCCCACGGGATCCTGTTAAAAGAATGGCAACTGGGATCTTCTGCATATAAAGTAGGTATTCCACCTATGGTCTTTGGTCTCTCCGACAGTTGGAAATTGAAAGATTTCCAAGGAATCTTTGGACATGTAGTGGGCTGTCATTGCTACATTAGAGAACATTCAAGAATGCTCTGAAATAAAGACAGTGATATCCACCTAAACCTAGAGGAAAGATACATCCCCTCTCCAGAAACCTCATTGTCACCTCTTCCAAACACTGCACAAACTTACTTCCAAGCTTAACTCCTCCCTCTATTAGTCAGAACTCTCTTTTTTTTCCCCCATTTGTCCCTCCTCTTTTTCAAAAATGTTTAATTTTTTTATGAATTGCTTGGGACCAAAGTATCAGGATTTTGAGTTGAATGTTTACACACAGACATATGCACAATCCACCAGACATATAAATTGCATTTGAAAAAAATTAAAAGGGGAGAAAGCTTAGGCAACCACTGCATCCAGGCAGATAGCTATTGTGGCTAGCAAATCAAAACATGTGGCAAGGTGATGTCATCTCTTCCCTCCTTAACAAATTTTTTTCTGGGGCAAGAGGGCACCAACAAGCAGAAAATGTGTAGGTTACAAATGAAAGTTGTCTGGATTTTCTGCAAAATTCTGTGAACAAGGCAGGACAATCGCACAATAAAAAAAAAGCCTTGTCTTGAAATCCTCTTAAGACTGCAGGGGAGGCAAAGCAAAAATTTCCATTTCTGTCTCCAGAACACACTTTGCACACTTTGGCACAAACAAATCTGACACTGTCCCTATCCTGCACAGTGAGATGACAAGAAGCCAAGGGTAGGCATCTCCCTCCATCTTCCCCCCAAACTGGTTCATCCTTCAGTTGTTTCTCTTTGGCATGTAGTTGAAATTAACAACAAAATGGATCAGAATAAATTTAAAATCCCCAAACAATAAAATGAAGTTAATTCTATTTGTGTAGCACACATGTTGGAATATGTTTTCATGTTGTCTGTTCTGTACATACATACCTGAAGTGGATTGAGCAATGGTTTTACCAACAATGGATGCATGATAGTGAGATGTTTTGCACTATTTTGAAATTTTGGGGCTCTATACAAATATTTTATTAACTGACATTAAAAAATCAAAAACAAATCTCACGGTTGTTATTTTCATTATTTCTGCTTATAACCAGTTCTCTCCCTTTGAATTAAAGGTCAGTCAATACTTTCCACCAAAACTTGCATAAAGTAGGCCAGTGATGGCTAACCTTTTTGTCGTTACGTGCCTGCACCCATAATGCAATGTGTGCGCGACCTGCTCCTGCTTAACCCCCCCCCCCGTGCATACGCACATTCCCCCTGCACTCCCCGGGCATGTGCATGCGACCCCCTCACCCCATTTTGGGCCTAGTAGGCCTCCCTGCAGCCTCCTGGGAGCAAAAACAGGCTGCAGGGGGGCCATGCCGCATCCCCAAGTGCCCCCTTTTTGCTCCCAGGAGGCTGCAAGGAGGCCTACTAGGCCCAAAACAGGGACTGCGGTGGGGGGTCCACCGCCTTCCCATGCGCTTCTCCACACATACCCGCGCATGCATCTCCCGCATATGCCCCCCCCACGCATGCGCAGCAGAGACCTGAAAATCAACTGACTGGCAAGAGGCACACGCACATGCGTGGTGCAGCTGAGCTGAGGCGACAGCTCGCGTGTCCACAGAGTGGGCTCTGCGTGCCACCTCTGTACACAGGCCATAGATTCGCCATCACGGATGTAGGCATTGCTATTCCAGATGACAGTTACCACTACTTCAGTGCAGAGAGTGGGTTAATCTGCTAACATACTAGCTTTTTAAGTGAACTCCACCCTCTCTACACGCAATACCCTGCAGACATTAGACTAGATTATGAAGTTACAAAGAACAACTACTCTCATAGAAACATAACCAGCATTGCTTTTTACAGTGTAATTCTGGGCTCAATTATGGTCATAAGTCAAGGATTACCTATATCCCTTCATTGAGTGCCATGACTTTCTATAGGTAAGATGGTGTACATAATCATTTATATCTATGGAGATTCTCGATCAGATCATGGTTTTACCAAAGATGATTTTCCAAAAGACTACTGGACTTTCTTAGAGAGGGGCATTCTTGAAAATATTTTTGCTTCTCATCCGAGAAGTTTCTTCAGTGAAGAAGAACTGAAGTGGATGAAACTTCTTGGATGAAAAGCAAAATGTTTTCAAGGAGAAAAAAACCAAGAAAATCCTGTTGCCTTTCAGAAAAGCACATTTGAAACAATCATTGATAGTGCAAGGAGCTGTTGGTTCAACTCCTGGTAAATTATTTAAATTCCACAAAGTAACAGGGGTAACATCCCTACTTTCAAAAGTGATGAAACTGGTTACATAGTCTCTCTACCCTTGGGGTTTCTATACTGTATTGAGACTACTGTAATGAGTCTCAGAGAATCAGCAGGCCAAGTTTGTCCAAGATAGTTAAGTTTTTACAAGCAGTGTTGTGATATTCTTGGAAAAGATTATCAAATGCTGTGATGTGTCTATACCTACAAAATCAGAATCATGCAAGAGATAGTATTTCCTGGGACACTGTACAGAAGTAAAGGAAGCAAGATAGGAGAAACATTGATGCCTTTGGACTCAAAACTCCTGAGAATACCGTGGATGGCCAAGAAAGCAAAGCAATCAAACTGAAATTATCTTACTTCAGACACATTGTGCAAAAGACTTGACTCCTGCAGAGGGCTCTAATGCTGGAAAGATGCAAGGAAAAAGAAGAGGACAACCAACACCGAAGAAGATGGACTCAGTTACCATGGTGATAGAGATACTGTTGGAAGACTTGAGGGACCAGAATGTCATGAAGAAATCTATATCAGGGATGTTCATTTTAAGGTTGAGAAACATTGCCATGGGGCATTGACATTCGCTCCCTTTTGTGCAGGCAACCATACAAATCAGGGATGTCCCATCTTGGCAAATTTAAGACTTGTGGACTTCAACTCCCAGAATTCCCCAGCATGGAGAGCACTTCAATTCTGGGAGTTGAAATCCATAGGTCTAAAATTTTCCAGGATCGGACAACCCTGATTTATATGGTTGCTAGGAGTGTATGCCTACACAAAAGGGAGCAAATGTCAACGCCCCATGGCACTGCTTCTCATTCAGAGTACAGTTGGAAGGGTCCTTTGTGGTCATCTAGTCCACCCCCCTGCTCAAGCAGGAGACCCTATACTATTTCAGACAAGTGACTGTCTCTCCTTTAAAAACCTCCAGTGATGGAGCACCCACAACCTCTGAAGGCAAGTTGTTCCACTGGTTAATTGTTCTCACTGTTAGGAAGTTTCTCCTTCATTCCAGGTTGTTTCTCTCAACCTTGGCAACTTTAAAACGAGTGCCCCAAGCATGCTGACTAGGAAATGCTGAGACTTGAAATCCACACATCAAGAATGTAGCGTTAAATGGGGGAAAAAATATTTCAGAGTCAACCTCCAAATCCAAAAGTGGTATGTGAGTTTGAAAGTTGTAGATCTATCGTCCTTCGATCAGCCTATAAGATGGCAGAGGAGCCGTGTTTTTTTTTTTTTTGTGCCAATGCGCACGACGTTCTATTTGCTCCACTCACATCGGACTCGTTGACTTCCGGGAGGGGTTTAAGAAAAAAGAATACTGTATTTCATTTGCAGCAGCTGCTTCTGGGAAAAAAAACATTTCATCCTCTTTTCCTCCACTATATTTAACGGGAACGAGAGTATATACAGCACGGAGGAAAGGAGCAGCTTTTTTTCTCGTCTCCTCTTCCTGCATGTGTTTGGTTCCGTCCGTCCGTTAGCCCACCCTCGAAGGTGAGTGCGCATGCGCTGCTGAAGAACGCGTGTGAAGGTTCGGTGAGTAGGGTAAAGGGGAGATCTTGCGGTTGTGTTGCTATGGAAACAGAACGGGAGGGGGCAGGTGAGCTTCATTCGCCGAGGGACTAATGGAAGAACCGAATATTACCTGTTCTGGAATCTTCTTTCTACAATTTATCCAACTTCAGCTTTCTCAAGTTTTCCCCTGCATCTTTGCCCAATTTTACACTGCGTTTGGTTGACCAGACCATCGGTCGCAATTCTTTCCTGTAGCCCACTCTTATTTGTATTCAGTTTACATTCATTTAATACCCATTTAATTGGAGTTCACTACATCCGGCTCTTATCCCAAAGGTGCTTTTTTCAGGCGGCATCTGGACTTTCTGGTTTTTCTGTGAAGCTTCTTCAGCTCTGACTGCATGGTGGGGAATGGAAGGATTTATATTTCCTTGTAGACAGCTGGTCATTGTATTCTTTTAGAGTCGTTGAGGCCACTTGGATATTTATCTGTGTCCTCAGGGTTACCTGAGTAGTGCTCCTGGCTCCTGTAGTCCAGGGGTCTCAAATCTTGACAATTTTAAGACTTGTGGACTTCAACTCCCAGAGTTCCTCAGCCGGCAAAGCAAAGCTGGCTGAGGAACTCAGGGAGTTGAAGTCCAGGAGTCTTAAAGTTGCCAAGGTTGGAAACCCCTGCTGTAGTCTGCAATTCCCCCCCTCTGGAAATCCAAGTCATGGTTGTCCCAAAGGTGCTTTTTCAGGACACAGATAAACCTCCAACACCTCTAAAAGGATGCAAATGACCAGCTGTCTGCAAGGAGTATAAATCCTTCCATTCCCCACTATCCTGTCAGAGCTGAAGAAGCTTCTTGGATGAGAAGCAAAACATTTTCAAAAGAAAACAAGAAATCCAGTTGCCTCCTGAAAAAGCATCTTAGGGACAACCATGACCTGAATGACTGAGAATCTCTACAGTTTCTTGATAATTACTTGTTTCATCTGGCCTACTCAATTCTCACATTCATATACCACATTGGCTACAAACACACCATAGCTTTTGTTTTTCTTCCAATAGTCATTCCCTGAAATGATCCACATACAATCCAACAACTTTCCTATCAGCATTCACATGTCTTAAAATGTCTCCATCCATTTTCCCATCTTTGGTAAATATTGTACCAAGGTACACAAATTCATCTGTTTCCTCTTGTTTTTCAGTGTTTATTTGCGACATGCAATTGTTCCCTCCATTTTTCTCAAATATTATCATTTTGGCAAATTACATTAATGTTCCAATGTATGCTTTTTATTGTATCACACATTGGCTGCAAATTTGTGGGGGTTGCTTGGCTACAACATGGCACTACTGTTCTCAGAGGGCAAATTTCTTAGTGCCAAGAGAAAAAAATTAAGCAGCATGTATGAATTTGCATGTAATATCTATATTTTTAATTTGTTAAATTTGGAGAAGATTAGAAAGACTGACAGATGGCATGAGGAAAATGGATTTGTGCATGCATTTTTTTTATATTTAGCATCTATGTACAGTTATTGCTCCAGATTGATCATGTACATGTGGACCTTGTCCTGATTTGTAGTGGATTTCTTATGATACTAATTTGCTTTATTAAGCAGTATGCTGTTCTTTTCCATTCTAAAAAAACATGCAAGGTCAAATTTGCTTCCAAGATTTATTTAGACATTTTCATTTCCCCCCCTCTATTTAGGTCCTCCAGATTTTTAAAGTCAGCACTCCTGTCTCTTCAGACCAGCAAAGCAGTAAATAATGGTGAAAGAAAAAGAAGTTGAATTGATTGGCCAGATTCTGGTGAACCCCAAACAATCCTTGAAGGCACGCTTCCGAGCACTTTTCACCTTACGTAATTTGGGGGGTCCAGCTGCTATTGAGTGGATCAGTCGAGCCTTTGAAGATGACTCTGCTCTCCTGAAGCATGAGCTGGCATACTGTCTTGGTCAGATGCAGGATGAGAGGGCCATTCCAGTTCTCATTGATGTGCTCCAGAACACATGCCAGGAACCCATGGTGCGACATGAAGCAGGTGAGAAGCAGGGAACTATTTGCCAGCTAGGTTGAAGATGATTATGGGACTTGGTATTCAGGATGGCACCTTGTTAGGAAGGCTGGTCTACACGAAGCCAGTGAAGGAAATCCTCTGCAGGTTTGAGTTTCTTCTCATCATTTGATCCCAGAGACTGGATCTCTTCAGAACAGATGCAACTAACAAAACCTTATAAAAGCAATTGTTGGTCAAGAACAGTGTCAACTGAAATGAGATATTTCAGACAATCCTAAAACCCTCCTAACAAACTATGATTGTGAATCTCGAGTTACTTTCACTGGCTTACTTTTTGTCCTTGTCTGTCCCTGATGACTATTTCAGTTTTCAAAGATGAAAATAGTTAAGATCTTAATCAGCAATGTTTCTCAACCTTGGCAACTTTAAGATATGTGTTGAGAAAACTGCCCTGGAGCAGGGATCCCCAGTCTTAGCAATTTTAAGACTAGTGGACTTCAATCCAATGGTGGCTGAGGAATTCTGGGAGTTGAAGTCCACAAGTCTTAAAGTTTCCAAGATTGGAAACTCCTGCCCTAGAACATTTGTGTTTGCTCCCTTTCATGGTGACCTGCTGGCAGCTAAGGTCAATTTTAAGGGGGCTGCAGTTAGAACCATCTCAAGGGAGCATCCAATCCTCTCAAACAGAACATGGCATGTCCCAATGTTACCCGGTTTTCTGTGGGAACTCAAAATACAACATTTGAATAGTAGTTACATTGCTTTAAGATAAAAATACTTTTAAATACCTGTTGTTTTGACTAGTATTTTAGTATTGATGGGGAAGATTTTAAATACAATATTTTTGTTTTATATATCTCCCTTTTTAGGACAAAAGGCACACAATAATTCCTGTTGGCTAGTATGAGTAAACATTTTTTTCCGCACATCTGCATTGTGTTCCTTGCCTTCAGTAGTTAAAATAAATTTGTTTCAATGACTAATCTTGGTGGATTGTATCTTTACATTATGCTGTCATTGGTTTGAAAATCTATAATTATTCTGATTATATTTTGTGTTTTTTTAATTTAGCAACCTTTGAGTACCAGTTGATTGAAGGATTCAAGATATTTGTTGCTGTTCTTAACTTTGTGCTGATTGTACATGTCAAAGGATTCTTGCATCACTGACCTGTCTTCATTCTCCTACTTTCTTCTGTTTTCCATAGGTGAAGCTTTGGGTGCCATTGGAAATCCAAAAGTACTTGATATATTGAAACAATATTCTGAAGATCCTGTTGTTGAGGTGAATATGGGAGTGGAGAAAATCAATAACTCCTATAAAAGAGTCCCTGAAGATTTTACTCCATTAGTCATTGCTGACTATAAGGGGCAGTGTTCATCCCCATTTCCAGGGCCATTGAGCCAGCACTGTCCAAAAAACATTTCCATAGTCATGTGGCCAGCATGACATCACCGTACTATTACTTTCCCACCAAAGTGATACCTATTTATCTCAGGTGGGATGCTACCAACTGATACTGATACTGCTACCTATCTATCAGCTACCAACTGATACTGATAACTCCCAAGATCAGCTATCATAGAACTGGTTTGGTCTTACTTGCTCTGAGGCTCTTCAGTTGGGCCCTCCCATCCTCCGGTGCTCCCAGGTCCTTTTTATCCTCTCAGCTGTTTGGCGCGGCAGAGTGGATTGCCCTGCTAATCAGCTGAGAGGTGCATGGGTTGTAATTTAATGTGAGTGCGCGCGCAACAAAGCATGTGATCACCGCACTGAATTGGTTGTTAATGCCAGTAGAATCCCACCCCTGATTTATCTACTTGGCATTTGCATACTTTCGAACTGTTTGGTTGGCAGAAGCCAGAGCGAGGACAAGAGCTCATCCCGTTGTATAACTCTTGGGTCTTGAACTTGAGCGGTTGGCTTTCCAGCTGACAAGCCCAATATCTTTAACTGCTGAGCCATTGCGTCACCCCCAATAGCTCCTTCAAAATTGCTGAATTGAAAAATTTGAAAAGTGGTTCCGATGTAGAATAATGAAATGTTTTGAAACATAACTCTTTTTAATTTATTATGTTGGTGTTGACTCATAATAACCATCCTGTCTAGGATTATCTATGGAGATTTTCTCTCATCCAGGTCATGGTTGTCCCAGAGATGCTTTTTTTCAAAAGGCAACTGGACTTTCTGTTTTTTTCTTTGAAGATGTTTCGCTTCTCATCCAAGAAGCTGGAGCCGGATGAGAAGCGAAACGTCTTCAAAGAAAAAACAGAAAGTCCAGTTGCCTCTTGAAAAAGCACTTTTGGGATTTCTTCAGGATTATATGTCCCCAACCTGGCCCTTCAGATCTTCTAACCCAGCCATTGTTGGAATTTCAGTCCATCTACCTTGCCACTGTTTGTTCTCTTTTTCTCTTTTCTTCCGCATTTTCCAGAAATACAGACATCTCAAAGGACCCGAGTCTTCATAATTTGAATCTGAATATTTGAGCCTTGAGAGCAAGCTCTGGATTGATTTGTTCTATGATCCTCCCCCCACCCTCCCCAACCCCTTTGGCTATTCATGGTATTCTTAAAACTGTTACAAAAATGAGAAAGAATTTTGTCTTTTAAAAACATAAATTATTTTGGAATATCCTGTTTAATTTTAGATATATTATTTATTAATACTTTTTAATCCTACCTTTAGGGGAAAGTTGTAAAGCTATTACCTCCTACTTTGTCAATGATTTGAAAGCATTGACAACTAGCTTGCAACTCTACAGTTAGCACCCTAGTCCTTGTCTTTCCATGAAGACTTCTGAATCCCGGCAAACACTGGCTTCACGTGTCCATTTGCTCTCCTGTGTAGGTAGCGGAGACATGTCAGCTGGCTGTGAAGAGGCTGGAATGGTTTCAGGAGCACAAGGCAAACTCTACTGTCAACCCTTACTGCTCTGTGGATCCAGCACCTCCCGCTGAGGAGAAGGATGTGGGGAAGCTGAGGCTCGCCCTGCTGGATGAGTCACGGCCACTCTTTGAGCGCTATCAAGCTATGTTTGCGTTACGGAACACTGGAGGAGAAACTGCTGTTCTGGCACTTGCTGATGGTAAGCAGCAGACTTTCTAAGCCTGGCTTAAGAATCTGGGGCAGAAAATTTTTCCAAGCTGTGATTTTCTTTGAAGGGATGGAGCATAAAGTCCATTTTCCAAAATGCATCATGAATGAGTCAAATGCTGAATACACCCAATTCCACTGGGCCATTTTTGAAATTGCTCTTTTAGTTGTAGATTCTAATGTGCCGCTCTTAGGGCCGTGCATCCCAAACCTGGGTAAGTTACCTAAAACTGGGTAAAAGTGACTTTTTCTTTGGGTGATGACACATGAACCCACAATCACAACAGGAATACTTAAATTTCCTTAAAGCAGTGGTTCTCAACCTTTTCTTCACCATATACCCCATTTAAATATACCTTTTGTGGCCATAGACTACCAAAACTTAATTCAAGATTGAAATCACCCCCTGTCACAACATTGTGACCACCAGGGGCTTGCAGATCACAAGTTGAAAACCATTGCCTTAAAAATGTTTTAAGGGTGTTGGGTGAAAAGGACTGTCTGATTTGTGGCTTTGGCTAAAGAAGGAAAAGTTTAAAGACCACTTTCTTAGGGCATTTCTTCACTAGTGCCTAAGATTAACTTCTAGAGTCAATGACGCAATATAATATCAAAATAACAGTATTGTGGGTGGACTTTATATCTTTCCAAGTATGGCTGAGTGATCTTAGGAAGACTCTTTAAATCGTAATTGGAGAAATGGCCTAAAGGATATGCTAATAGGAGCAGGCAAACAATTTTTATTCCCCCTCACCCATTTTACTTGAAATATAATAATGAGAAATTAATGGTACTATAAATTCATTATAGTTTGATGTACAACGGTAATGTCATTTGCAAATTATGACAAATTTCAGGAATTTTTGCAGCTAAATGCAGCCTCCCTTAAACAGACTGATACATATCTTGCTCAAATGAGTTTTTTTTACCTTTTTGTGGCAGGGGACAAGGTACAACTCTGAAGAAGCCTGTTGGTTCTATGTAGCAGATATTTTAAGCAGCCCATTTTTCTTTCGTGCTGTTATCTGGAGTTAGACCTCAATAGATCCTAATTCCGAGTAAACATTCAGAGTCTTAGCTATTTGGAAGTGCACATCCGGTTCTTTATTTGGAATTTCACTTCTGTCCAACATCCTCAAAATCCATCTTGACCCTATCTCCAGTCCAGGGGGGGATTCCCACTCAGCAGACTTCGTTCCCTACAGCCCTTTCTGGTTCTTGGAAAAAGACTATGACTCAGTGACTGAACCTGGTCAAACTCCAAACCTTCCTCAGCCGTTCATGGCTCAGACATGGGTCTTCAGGTTCAGTGTAATTGGCTCATCACCCTTCTATGGGAGAGTTGAGAAATAGCTAAAGAGAGTTGCAAGTGTAGGACTTACCTCCTCCTTAGATATACTGTATATTTATACCTGTGTGACCTTTTCAATTAAAAACTAACAGTGTACCATCATTTGTTGGCAGAGCATGTTTAGATTTAGTGGGTCTTGGGTCTTTGATATCTCCAGTGGAGAGGATCCAATCCCAGATATTGAAATGGAAGCTGTGGGGATCCTTCCTCTGCCCAGTTGGAGAGGTGGATTTGATTTCTGAGGGAGGAAGCACCTCCTCCTTCAAGGAAATAAGATTTCCCACAAAAATTCACTGGTTTTATGCACCCAGGGGCCACTTCAAAGGAACACCTAAAAGTTTTTCTTCTCCTGTATCCCTGATTCGCTGCCATCAGAACAGCCAATCCTGAGATATTGTGGTGGAACCTTGAGGGTGGGATGAATGCAGGAGGGAGGGGCTCTTTCCCAGGGAGCTAAGAGGCAGTTCAGCATTGGGTCCTTGGTTTGCAGAAAGAGCCCCAGAAGGGATCATGCCTAAAACTTTCATAGTATTTACCTGATACAAATAGTCCTTGACTTATGACCACAACAGAGTCTAAAATTTCTGCTGTTAAGTGAGCGGTTTCCCCACAGTTGTTAAGCAAATCATGGCAGTTAAGTTAGTAACACAATTGTAAAGTGAATCCGGCTTCCCCATTGACTTTGCTTGTCACAAAAAGTGATTAAGTGACCCCGGGAGACTCTAACTGTCATAAATACGAGTTGCCAAGCATCCAAATTTTGAACATGTGACCCTGGGGATGCTGCAATGTGAAAAATGGTCCTATATGGCTTTTTTCAGTGCTGTTGTAACTTGGAACAGTCACTAAACAAAAGGCTGCAAATAAATAATTAAAATGATATTAAAAATAATAAAGCAATAAAGAAACTTCTCTGAGCAATTAAGCCTTCTTGGTTCCTTGGGCCTGACTTTAATCTTGCCAGACTCAAGCACAGACTGCGTAACCATCCGATGGCACTCAGTGCTGATCTGCCTCTTAGCTCCCTTGGAAACAGCCCCTCCCTCCTGCATTCCAGTGTCAGGTTCCACCAACTCAGGGCTACCAAGCAGGTTCTCTTCTCCCCTCTTAGTCCAGGTGACTTCTCTCTTTCCCCAGGCCTCCAGGCTGGCAGCGCCCTCTTCCGCCATGAGATTGCCTTTGTACTGGGCCAGATGCAGCAGGAGGCCAGCATTCCACAGCTGATGGCGTCTTTGGAGAACGTGGCAGAGAATCCCATGGTGCGCCATGAGTGCGCTGAGGCTTTGGGCTCCATTGCTAAGGAGTCCTGCCTGACCACCCTGGAGGCGTTTGCCAAGGATGAAGAGCGGGTAGTCCGGGAGAGCTGCGAGGTGGCGCTGGACATGTACGATTATGAGAACAGCACTGACTTCCAGTATGCTGACAGTCTGAGCAAGCTGAAGGCCTTCAGCTGAAGAAGCAGGACTTCTCTCAGCTGGCCTCCCGTGCTTTTATTGGCCATTTGAGTGTCATTTGTTGTCTGTGGTTTCCATAAGAGTGCTGGAAGGAGACCATGTGGACAAAACCCTCCCGCCTCCGTCATTAATTAATTTATTTTTCTTTTGCTGTACTTGGTGGAGGGGATACCACAGCTGTTATCAAGGACTTTGAATTATGTTGGTGAAAACTAGTTGCCATTTTTATTAGCTACCCTTAGAAGAACTCTTCCTCACCCTATGAGCTGGCCCCACATAACTTGTAAAGCACCAAGACAAATGAAGCTCACTTCTGTCTCAGGTGAATCATAGAATCATAAGAGTTGGAAGCAACCTTGGAGGTCTTCTAGTCCAGTGGTCGCCAACCAGTAGTCTGCAAGAAAATTTTGGTGGTCCACAGAGAAATGTCACCCCCAAAGCAATTAATCCAGGGGACACAAGGCTGCTCCGCCCACATGGCCCGTAGGAACACAAGGCTTGTATCCCTTGCATTGCAAACAACACAAGGTAGGGGGGAGGGGTGGAGGGGGGAACTTGCCCCAATCGCCCCACACACCTCGCCTGGTCACCGGGCTGCTTCTTTCCGCTTCTTTCTTCTGCTTTTGGTTGCATGCAAGGAAAGCAGCAAAAGTCTGTCTTTCTCTTCCCCAAACTCTGCCAGAAATGAGTCTTTGGAACCCTGCAAGGCTTCCTCCTCCAAGAGGCTGTGCTGGTGCGATAAGTCTCACAAAGGCTCATTTCTGATAGAATTTGGGGGAGAGAAAGAAAGGCTTATGCTGCTTTCCTTGCATGAAGCCAAAAGTGTCTGTCTCTCTCTGTCTCTGTCTCTCTCTCTCTCTCTCTCTGTCTCTCGCTCTATCTATCTATCATCTATCTATCTATCTATCTATCTATCTATCTATCTAAAACTGGTGATCCAGTTATTGTAGAAATAAACAGGTAGCAACAACCAGGGAGAGATTGTTCTTCAAGTAACACGATCCCAAACTACTATGAAGGACTTTAAAGGTGACAACCAGCACCTTGAATTACACCCAGCAGCACATTGGCAACCAATACAGCTCACCAATAATGGTGGTGTTACATGTGCCAAACAAGCATCACCCTTTACAACCTGCACTGCTATGTTCTGTACCAGTTGAAGCTTGGGAATGCTCTTCAAGGGTAGCCCCATTGTAGAGTGCATTGCAGTAATGCTTACTGGATTTATCCGTATTGTTGCAGAATAAGACACTAGGTTAGAAATTGAACTTTCAAATTTAGAGCAAAGCTTTTCTGTTCCACTGCACAAGATAAAATATTTTCTCCTGAGATCTACTTGGGCATTGGGCAAAACTTCAGGGAATTATGATCCATGACAGAACTATTTTTCTTAAATTCAGTTCCTGTGGGGATGGAAGTTTCACTTAGAATTACAAGGGAAGGGAAGGGGTTTTTCTGCATCTCATTTATTTCTTCAGATATTCATTTGGAGCTGTAAGTTAATTTACCATTTTAGTGGGCTTTGAATTTATTTTTACTAAGCAAAGATAAAAATCTTATGTTCTTTAAATGGGCTAATTACACACACACACACACACACACACACACACCCCTAATTCTTGAGATGAATTTCACTGGTTTTACTGGTTTTACTCCTTAATTTGATGCTCCGACTGCCTAACCTTTGGCAATAATGCATAGAGTCAAAATTGGAATTGGCAGAAGCAACCCGGTGCTTTCAGTTAAGTAGATTAGATCTTCAAGATCAAACTAATGGGAACACAATGGATTTCATCTGTTAGCAGGGCATGGAAAATATGGCCTTTAGCTGCATGACATGTGAGCTGATAAAACTTCAAAGAAGGAGATAAGCTAAATGACTTTCCTACTAGCCTTGAGTGGGACAGATGGACTATGGAAGATTTGGAGGGGTGATTTTGCTCCTTGAATGGACTAATCTTTCGTTTTAGAGTTGTTTTGTATTTATTATTTTAAATTTGAAAAGGCATCCGGAATTGATTGTAGCCTATAATTTAGTTCAGGATCCCCCAAACTTGGCAACTTTAAGACTTGTGGACTTCAACTTCCAGAATTCCTCAGCCAGCTTCTGGGTGTTGAAGTCCACAAGTCTTAAAGTTGCCAAGCTTGGAGACCTCTGATTTAGTTGATAAATGCATCAAACTCAGGGGTGGGATAGACAGGGTTAACTACTGGTTCAGGATTTACGAGCTTCCCTGCCTGCTTTGAGCCACACGCCTGTGAGAAGCAGCCTTTGAAACAGCCCTCTTGTTTTTTAACTGCAGCTGTGCCTTGTTCCAGCTGAAGTTGAAAAATCAGGAAATAAAGATCTGGTAAGAGCCCAGGTGGACGGGTGGGCAAAAACATCAGCAGACATAGAACCAGTTCTATGTCTGCTGCTCTTCAGAGCTACCGGTTCTACAGAGGTGCACAGAACCAATAGAAACCCACCCCTGATCAAACTCTTTTTGCTTACTGTGCAGATATGCAGGGATTCATGGACCATTTATAACAGTGAGAAGCAGCTCAATGCCATCACAACCAGATAATTTTGAAGTAAGGGAAGAGCACTGTGGGGCATGAGTGAGAGAAATTCAAGGTGGCTGCTGCAATCATGATCAAAGCCACCATCTTGATATTTAATGCCCCTGCCACAACTCAATTTCCATATTGGTGGTGCCCTGAACAGTCTGAACTTGCGCTACTGGGACTGGGTGGCAAAACTGCTGGTTTTAAAAACTTCATGTGATTGTCTCTGTATCTATGTATTGAGGTGCTAGACATTAGTTCTATAAATAACTCAAGGCATCAAATACACATAATACTTCCTCCTCTTTTTCTCACAACACTTGTGTGGTGGATTGGGCTGAGAGACAGTAACTGGCTTTCATGTCTAAGGCAGGACTAGAACTCACAATCTCCTGGATTCTAGCTTGGCTTAGCCATTACACTAAACTGGCTATATTTTTGTAGAAAAGTGGCAAAATTAAGACCCTAAATGCCCAACAAAAGTCATTCTTTTCCAATCATTAGGAGTGGGTGTATTACTGATCACTCCCACTCCTGCCTACATACAAGTAATTAACCACCCTTTGATCTGTCCTTGGGTTCACATAATGCTCCTGACAGGCTGCATTTTGTTTTTCTAACAGACGAGAAAGAGGAAATTGGATTTTTTTCCCCATCAGCAGGAGGGTATCTGCCAAACGAAACAAAAAAAAAAGACTTATGGACAGTTTGTTCTAAAGAATAATTGTTGTTTTTGTTTGAGAAGGTGGGGCTGGAAAAGATTGAGAGGTCTAAGGCAGAGGCCTTCAAATTTGACAGCTTTAAGACTTGTGGACTTCAACCCCCAGAATTTCTCCTGCTGTCATGTTAGCTCAGGAATTCTGAGAGTCTTAAATCTAAAAAATCTTAAACTTTCCAAGTTTGGAGACCCTTGTCCTTGAGTAAATGCAGAGCACAATTCGTTAATATCAGGAGGAGAAATGACTCAATTCTTGGAACTTATATAAGCATGTCAAAGGATAAATTAAAGAAGAATATCATTTTATTAGAGGGGGGGAAAAGCTGACATTTCTTAATGGTATGCAGGCTAGTAGTCTTTCCATGGGCACCCAAGAACTGGGCAGAATCAAATCATGCCATGCTTGTGTGTAGCTTAACAATTCCAAATTGTAGCCTGGGAGGACAATGAAAGAATTCTCCTTTAAAATGCAACAAGCATTTTAATCAAATTTTGCTTTCCTGTTTCTGTTCGCATGTGGTGTGTTTCATGTATATGACTGCTATTTAACCTTATGGAAAACGCTGTACAACCATCACTCCATATTTTCCCACTTGACAGACTACAGAGGAAAATAAAAAGGACATTGAAAAAAATACTGGGGTTGGGGAATCATGAAATAAAAATAAAATCCTCTGGAACTATTGTTGGAATGAGATGGGAGGAAGGAGACACAGGACGTGGGCTTCAGCTCAAAGGGCCCTCAGGTTGTATGCAAGCACAGCCTTATTCTACTAGGCAGGATAATCTAAAGCAGAGGTCTCCAAACTTGGCAACTTTAAGACTTGTGGACTATGCTGGCTGGAGAATTCTGGGAGTTGAAATCCACAAGTCTTAAAGTTGCCAAGTTTGGAGACTCCAGCTGTGATTTGGTTTTGCACGTGAAGCCTTAATGCACTGTCCCTCCTTTCCTTCCTTCCATTACAATATTTTTTTCCTTGATGGCTCAATCAGCATATTTTCATTTCTCACACCCCCATTATCCGTCCCTCTTTCCCTCCCTCCTTCCTTTCCTTCCTTTCTCCCAATAAAAAAAATATCCTTTGATGGCTCAGTTAGCATATTTTTAACCTCTGACATCCCCTATTGTTTATCCCTCCTCTCTCTCTCTCTCTCTCCCTCTCCCTCCCTCTACAATAAAAATTATTCTTGATGACTCAATCAGCATATTTTATCTCTGACATCCGTTGCTTTTTCTCATTTGTCTCCTGATGTTTAAGCCACTCTGGTTGTTCTGCCATTCCACAGGGTTTTGCACGCCTTTCCATTGATCTAACTGGTTGTACATTTTTCTCCTATTGAGGCACAGCAGCTTGGTATCGGTTTCATAAAGCCCTAATGAGGAGTCATTATCAAGTGCCCTCCCGTTCCAAGTCCATACTCCAGGTTGAAAGGAAAATAATCCATCCCTTCCTTCTAAAGTAGTAGCAACAAAGGTGCCCAGGCAAGGAACACACTGTGACACACAAGGCTTCCAGACTGAAAAAAAACCCGACAATGAACTTGTTTTTCTACTGGAGGACCGTGTTTGTAGGAGCTGTCTTCGCTCCCTGTTCTCATGGCCAAGGTATGGAACAGCGTTGGGTGGGAAAATCTGAGGGCCATGCTGGGAAGGATTTGGGGGCAGCTATGTAAGGCCCAGTCGTGGGATTCAAATTTTTTTACTACCGGTTCTGTGGGCGTGGCTTGGTGGGCATGGTAGGGGAAGGATACTGTAAAATCTCCATTCCTACCCCACTCCAAAGGAAGGATACTGCAAAATCTCATTTCCTCCCCACCCAACTAACCTGCTTTCCAGCTACATTTTCCTGTGCAGGGCAACAAAAGAAGTCCCAGCTCCGGAGGCAGAGAATAGATGGGGCGGGGCCAGTCAGAGATGGTATTTGCCGGTCAGAGATGGTATTTGCTGGTTCTCCAAAACTACTCAAATTTTCCGCTACCTGTTCTCCAGAACTGGTCAGAACCTGCTGAATACCACCTCTGGTAAGGCCCCATTTGTGTCAGGAACCTTGTATAATATTTATATTAATTAATATACAAGACTCAGAAGCTGCTTCAA